GGATGACTATAGTAAATAATAATTTAATTGTATATTTAAAACTAAAAGAGTGTAACTGGATTGTTTGTAACACAAAGGGTAAATGCTTGAGGGGATGGATACCCCATTTACCATGAAGTAATTATTATACATTGCATGCTTGTATTAAAATAGTTCATGTACCATATATATATATATATATACACACACACACACACCTATGTACCCACAAAAATTAAAAATTAAAAGTTAAAAAATAAACAACCCCAAACCAAAAACAGACTTACATATGACCCAGCAATGACCCTCCTTGGTATTTACCCAAATGAGCTGAAAACTGACGTCCACACAAAAACCTGCACAGAGATATTTATGGCAGCTTTATTCACAATTGCCAAATCTTGGAAGCCACCAAGATGTTCCTCAGTAGGTGAATGGATAAACTGTGGTACATCCAGACAATAGAGTATTATTCAGCACTAAAAATAAATAAGCTATGAAGCCATAAAAAGACACGGAAGAACCTTAAATTTGCATTACTAAGTGAAAAAAGCCAATCTGATAATACTACTTGTTACATAATTCCCACTACTTGACATTCTGGAAAAGACAAGACACTAAAAAGATCAGTACTTGCCAGGGGTTCAAGTGGGGTTAAAGGAAGAGGGGTGAGTAGATGGAGCACAGGTCATTTTCAAGCAGACAAACTATTTTTTAATGATACTTTAAAAGTGAGTACATGTCATTATGCATTGATATATAAAACAAAGCAGGCTGGGCACAGTGGCTCACACCTGTAATCCCAGCACTCTGGAGGCAGGTAAATCTCCTGAGGTTAGGAGTTCGAGAACAATCTGGCTAACATGGTGAAACCCCATCTAATTTTGTAAAAATACAAAATTAGTTGGATGTGCTGGCACACGCCTGTAATCCCAGCTACTTGGGAGGTTGAGGCATGAGAATAGTTTGCACCTGGGAGGTGGAGGTTGCAGTGAGCCGATATCGTTCCATTGCACCCCAGACTGGGTGACGAGAGCGAAACTCCAACCCCACCCCCACACCCCCCCCAAAAAAAGCGAAACAAACAAAAAACCCACTAGCATGAGAAACTGCTTATTGGTGAATGCAGACAGGGACACCCACTTTTAAAGTCCCTATCAGTCTATAATGTTCCACTACTGCTTACCTGAGTATGAAAATGCATTTGCTCAGATGGTGAAGGTACAAGGTGAGGGGAAGCACAGGTTACCTTGGCTGCCGAATCACTTGCTCAGCTACTTTGTTACCATGTGTTCCCACAAGGAACCCTGAATATGTCCAATTCAGCCTGTTCCCAGTCATTATGGGTAGACACTTCTATCCATACAATCCTTGCTTCCAATTCTTCAACTGAGTTGTATTAAATTTTCTTATTGCTGTATCACAAATTACCACATTTATTATTTCATAGTTCCCATGAGACAGGAGTCTGGATCTGGGTTAGTGGGGTCATCTGCTCAAGGTCTCACCAGGCTGAAATTAAGGTGTCTGCTGGAGATGCAATCTCATCTAAGGCTCAGGGACCTCTTCCAAGCTCACTGGTTATTGGCAGAATCAATTTCCTTGTGGCTGTAGGACCGAGGCCCTCAGCCCCTAGAGGCTGCATGCCATTTCCTGTCATGTGGTCTTTCCCACAAGATGACAGTTTGCTTCTTCAGGCAAACAGGAGAGTATCTTAGCTGCTTTAACTCTCCCTGGCTTCAGGCTGGGCGTGGTGGCTCATGCCTCTAATCCCAGAACTTTGGGAGGGCAAGGCAGGCAGATCGCTTGAGGTCAGCAGTTCAAGACCAGCCTGGCCAACATGGTGAAACCAGGTCTCTACTAAAAATACAAAAATTGGCCAGGAGCGGTGGCTCATGCCTGTAATCCCAGCACTTTGGGAGGCCGAGGCAGGCAGATCACCCGAGGTAGGGAGCACAAGACCAGTCTGACCAACATGGAGAAACCATGTCTCTCTAAAAACAAAACAAAACAAAACAAAACACAAAAATTAGCCGGGCATGGTGGCACATGCTTGTAATCCCAGCTACTCGGGAGGCTGAGGCAGAAGAATCGCTTGAACCCAGGAGGCAGAGGTTGCAGTGAGCTGAGGTTGTGCCATTGCACTCCAGCCTGGGCAACGAGAGCAAAACTCCATCTCAAAAAAAACCAAAACCAAAACAAAACAAATTAGCCAGGCGTGGTGGCAGGCACCTGTAATCCCAACTATCTGTAAGGCTAAGGCAGAAGAATAGCTTGAACCCAGGAGGCAAAGGTTGCAGTGAGCTGAGATTGTGCCACTGGCTTCAGTAAGGGCCAGTCTCTTTTAAAGTCTCATCTGATTAGGTCAGGTCCACCTTGAATAATTTTCATTTGACTAGCTCAAGGGCAAATGATTTGGGACCTTCATTATATCTGCAAAATCCTTCATCTTTGTCACGTGACAGCTTCATCACAGGAGTAAAATCCACCAGACTCCCAATCCTGCCCACTCTCAAGGCAAGGGGATTACACAGGGCACAAACAACAGGAAGAGAGAATCTCAGGGCCATCTGCACTTCTGCCTACCACACTGATGATTAATCCTAATGAACTAACGCTGTCAGGTTAATCCTAAATCAAGCCTCATCACACTATCCTCCTCCTAAAATAACCTTGAACAGCTCTACAAAGCATAGAGTGAATTCCAAATTCATTAACCTGATATTCCAGGCCTTTCTCAAGCTCACCCTAGGTGACATTTTGAACCTTAACTACAAAAGGCCCTCCTCACCCATGCGGTCCTTTGCTCTGCCCCTCCCATGTCCTCTGTGTTCTCTGCTCTGCATTCCTTCTTGCATTTTCCTCCAGACCCTATTTGCTCTTTCCCTCCTCTTCCTCCTTCAAAGCCTATACAGACTTCAAGATGTTGTGCAGATTCTACATTCCAGATCATATGCTCCTGTGTGTCCTCCTTTGTCCCATTTATGCATCTTTGCTAATTAAATTCATTCAAGTGATTTTTCTCCAGGCCCCCAACAGACCCTAAAGTCAACTGAAATACTGAACTGTTGAGGTTATAGTGTTAGTTCTATAAATATGATGCTATGTCTCAGACTAATAATTAACCCTAAGAGCAAAGGAGAAGAGCTCCAACTAAACAATAAATTAACAAAATGTGGGGCCTCAAATGCAGTGGTGATGTCAGGGAGTTAACTAGCATTCATTTAAAACCACCTTCGACCTATTCCTGGAGAATATTTTTACCCAGAAAATCAGTAGGCTCAAATTTGATAATATAGACACAAAAACAACCACTGCTGACTGACATTTTCATTCTAGGGGCATTTTATTAAGAAAAATACTCAAAATTCCCTACATGCCCATATTTTCCAATAAATACTGGAAAACTATATGCCAAAACTCCAAGGAGCCTGACTTTATGCCTCCAAGATCATTTTTAAAAAGTCTTTCGAATGGAGACAGAATGAACATTCTTGACTCTTAGAGAAATGTTAAGTAGGAATTCCATACACATACCCAATTTTTTTTCACCTCAGAAAAAGACTGAGTCCTGGGTAAGTATATTAGTCTCCTTGTCAGCCTACCAAAGTACTAACTGGTCCATCATGCCATAAAAATAAGCCCACAAACACAAAACTAGAGATAGATAACATTCTATCTCCAGTAATAAAGTTTCTGATGATGTAATATGCATTACCTGTGTCTCTTTGATGAAAGTATTATTACTAGAAAAATCCATTTGGCTTGCCTCTCCAATAAATCAAATTTCTCAATGACAGGAACCATGTCGGTTCTTCCATCCCTCATGCAAGAACTTTTACTTAGATATGCTCTTAATAAATATTTCCTGAACATCAGTTTGGATACAATCTATAAATTAAAGCCCATTAATAAACTTTTCACCATAAGTAGACAATGAATGGTAAGAGGCAATATATTAAAAGGTACAATGGTGTTCTAAAAGAGAACATATGCCCTCCTATACAAAAATGCCCACTTGGCTTTTCACTCCTGCCAGCTTTGTGGAAATGAAAGGGTGACCAGCATTACGGTGTAACAGAAAATTCTGGAGGTGGGGCAGTGGTGTGACATTCAGCCAGACAGGGTGCGGGGTGCACTGCCCCAGCAGATCCAGCAGAACTATATGACACCACTCTGCCCCGGCCTTCGTTTCCTCATTTGTAAAAGGTGAGATCTACCTTAGGTTGTTTACTTAGGTTCCTTCTACTCCTAAAACAGATTTGATGTTATTAATGCCATTTTTCAGCACAGAATCAGTTTTCAACAGTTAACAAGTTTTCTACACAGTAGATACACAAGAACTTTCTACAACGTTTTCTTCTAGCATCTCCGATCAGTAGCACAAAAGCATATATAAATTTTTATCAGTTGGATAATGTAAGTTCTCAAAATGTATAACGCTGATGTTCCCATTTAGAAATTAGAGATTCCAATGTTTCCTATTTACATTCAAAAAAGGAAATCTGGCTTATATATACAATTGGAAGAGCTTATTAACTCATATTTAATCAGATGACAAAAATGATACTATGGCAAGGAATATAAGGATTAAGCAAATTAATTAGACATAAAGTTCTCAGACTCTAATACTGCATTCCTAGTAAGTTTAACTGTCACCTTCTGTGCTACCAAAACTTCAAAACAGATTTATTTTCTGAAAGGCTGGAGAGTAGGGTGTTGGGGAATGACTTATTATGTTAACCAGGGATTGTGTGTATATAATTACAAGCTGCAATCACCATAACTCAATTATATCCAAACGTTTAAAGCTTTTCTGTTAAAGAAAGAAGGAAGGGAGGAAGCAAAGAAGAAAGAAGGACAGAAAGAAAATTAGGTCTTGCCTAAAAGATTACTTATGAGACTTAAGGAATTTACACATTCATGGCTGAGTGCTCAATAATACATTCCCAGTGGAATGGTCTCTAGAAATGTCTACAATTAAAAACAGAACAGTAGAAAAAAAAAATTGAATGGCTTACTCTCTAGTTAGTGCGTGAGTGGAGGATTCCTTTTCTGAATCAGGAGAGCTTAGGGTTTGCAAAATACAATTATTTTTTTCAGTGGATAGGGCATCTCTTTCTTGCTCAGCATGGATTAATTTTAAGGCCTCTATTCCATCTTCTCCCTCCACCTTGCCACCTGGATTTGGCTGTGGTTCTGGGCTCTTTAAAAACAGGTCATCTTCACTTATTGAAACAGTGAGGTCACTGCTGGTGCTCCAACTTTCCTCCTCCTCCTCTTCCTGCTTTTTTCTGAAGGGCTTTTGTGACTTTGGGTCCCCGTGAGCAAGATGACCTGCAAGTGGGGACACGAATCAATTACCAATCACTGACTTCAGGGGGAAGCAGGTAACACACAGCAGAATCACTCATCAGTTAAAAACACGGAGAAGCAGCCCACACACAATTCATTACGGAACTTAAAAGCTTAAACATATTTTCAAATGTTTAAAAAAATCACAGCGGGTTTAAAAATCAGCAAATTCACTTGCATGTACATTTTTAAGAGTTCATTAGAATGGATTTTGTTGGCAAAGATACTATTTTATGACAAAGAGAGATAATTAGAGAGTATATTTTGTCCTTACATAAGATCACTACCACCCAGAAAACTCAGCAACCAAACTCAGCCTCTCATCCCACCTGAAACACCTTGCCAAGGAGAATGCTTCTCTTGAGACCACTTATTTTCAGATTCACAGTATTCCGAAACTGATATCGGAGAGACTGGCGGGCTGGCTCTTTTTTCCTCAACTTCAATATGTTCCCGTGTCAGTATTTCTCCCTCTGATCCCTCTGATCTGCTGGAACTGTCACACTTTAAACCAGTGGTTCTCTTCTCTGGACTTAATCTTTCCTGTAACGGGGAATTGAGTTCAGCAGACTTTTTGCCTTCAGATAAATTACTCTTGCCATGACGTGTGTTACTTCCTATCTCCAAGCAATGAGTTTGTTCCTCCTCAGACAATACACTGGCTGTGACTGGCGTTTTCTCACCAATCTGAAGAGATGCCTTTCCATCTATGTTGTCAGACTTATTTAAGCACTGTGTGTCATTACTAGTTTGTACTACACAGCTGTCTGTCACATTACTTCTCTGGGCTGTCTGTCGGTGTGAATGTGGGTCAGGAATTGAAAAGTTCTTTGTTGGTTGGGGAGATTTGTGCTCTGTACTGAAATCTCCCATGCTTGAGACGGCTGACATTTGGCGGCCCATAAAGATTGTTGCTGGTTGATACAATCCTCTTGACATGGCTGTTCCTGAGTTAATTCCCTCCTGCACTGCAACCTGCAACACCAAAAGAGATGTGAGCTAAACATATTGTGTATAAACAATTAGGTGGTTTTTTTTTTTCCCCCGGAAATGAAAGGAGGTCAAACAAAGCATGATTACTGAAATCAGCACCTACCACGTTTTATTAAACTCATGGTTTCCTACATAATGAATGAGCAAAAAGCAGTAAAGTCCATACAATTTAATTTTAATAACAATGATAGTTCACAAAACCAACATAGTAAAGAAAGTAGGCCAGGTGTGGTGGCTCACGACTGCAATCCCAGCACTTTGGGAGGCTAAGGTGGGCAGATCACCTGAGGTTAGGAGTTCAAGACCAGCCTGGCTAACATGGTAAAACTCTGTCTCTGCTAAAAATACAAAAATTAGCCGGGCATGGTGGCAGGTGCCTGTGATGCCAGCTGTTTGGGAAGCCGAGGCAGGAGAATCACTTGAAACCGGGCAGCAGAGATTGCAGTGAGCTGAGATCATGCCACTGCACTCCAGCCTGGAGACTCCATCTCAAAAAAAAAAAAAGAAAGTACAGAATATATGTTTTTGAAAAAAGAAATACATGCTTTGAAAAGACATCATTAGGAAAGTGAAAACCCACACAATGGGAGAAAATATTATAAATTATGTATTTGATAAGGGTCTAGTATCCAAAATACATAAAGAAGTCATATAACTATGTAATAAAAAGACAAATAGCCCTTAAAAGTGGGAAAAGGATTTAGATAGACATTTCTCCAAAGAAGATATATGAATGGCCAATAAACACATAAAATGATACTATTGTTACTCATTAGGGAAACATAATTCAAAAGCACAGTAAGATATCACTTTACCCACTATGATGGCTGTCTTGGTCTGTTCACGCTGCTGTAACAAAATATCATAAACTAGACAGTGTATAAATAACAGAAATTTGTTTCTGATAGTTCTGGAGGCTGGGAAGTCCAAGATCGAGGCAGGCACCAGTAGACTCCGGGTCTGGTAAGGAACTGCTTTCTCTCAGACAGCATCTTTCTGCTGTGTGCTCGCAGGGTGGAAGGGGCAAGCAAATTTCCCCGGCCTCTTTTATAAAGAAACTATTGTGCCCATGAAGGCTCTGCCCCCTTGATTCAATCACTTCCCAAAGTCCTCATCCTCATAAACCAACACCTTGGGGATTAGAATTTCTTTTTTTTCTTTTTTTTTTTTTTTTTTGAGACGGGGTCTCGCTCTGTCCCCCAGGCTGGAGTGCAGTGGCCGGATCTCAGCTCACTGCAAACTCCACCTCCCGGGTTCACGCCATTCTCCTGCCTCAGCCTCCCGAGTAGCTGGGACTACAGGCACTCGCCACCTTGCCCGGCTAGTTTTTTGTATTTTTTTTAGTAGAGACGGGGTTTCACTGTGTTAGCCAGGATGGTCTCGATCTCCTGACCTCGTGATCCACCCGTCTCGGCCTCCCAAAGTGCTGGGATTACAGGCTTGAGCCACCGCACCCGGCCTAGAATTTCAATACATGAATTGTGCCGGGGCCGGGGGAGACACAAATATTCAGCCCATATCAATGGCTATACTAAGAAAGATAGACGTTTTAATTTAGGATATTTAAGATGGAGAGTATCCCTCCAATAATTAGGAGAAATATGAGATAGAAATAAAGACATTATCACTTACAGGTTCTGGAGAGTACACGGCATACCTGGAGGCCAGCACACAAACGTCAGGGAGTGCAGGCAGAGAGAGGAAGAAAAGGGACCCGTGTCCTCACATGGTGGAAGCAGTGGTTTGAGGGGAAGGACACATGAGCCAATGTCTTTAATGGGTCCCAGGTGTTATCCAAACAGGTTTCCCAAAGGCAGCATGGGGAGTTTTAACTGGTGAGTTTAAAGCAAGCAGGCATGAGTTTTGGGAGGTTACCCAGTGACTGAGAGGTGGTCACTGTGGCATACGGTCCATGGGGAATGTGAAGGTAAGAAGGGCCTGTCAAGCAGGCTGTATCCAGCTGTCCCATAGGGAAGTGGTCACCAGAGAGCAGCTGTGTAAGGCAGGTATCTGGACCAACCACACTGAGGAACTGGGGAAAAAGGTGGAACTGCCAGCTGTGTCGGGGTGACTCAGTCCTGCTTCTGGTATGAGAAGGTTCAACTTAGATTTAAAATGTTTGCTGAGGCAACATAAAATTATAAGAATTCACTACGGCCGGGCGCAGTGGCTCAAGCCTGTAATCCCAGCACTTTGGGAGGCCGAGACGGGCGGATCACAAGGTCAGGAGATCGAGACCATCCTGGCTAACACGGTGAAACCCCGTCTCTACTAAAAAAATACAAAAAAACTAGCCGGGCAAGATGGCGGGCGCCTGTAGTCCCAGCTACTCGGGAGGCTGAGGCAGGAGAATGGCGTAAACCCCGGAGGCGGAGCTTGCGGTGAGCTGAGATCTGGCCACTGCCGCTCCAGCCTTGGTGACAGAGCGAGACTCCGTCTGGGGGGGGGGGGGGGGGGAATTCACTACAACAGGCAATAACAAGTGTTGTCCAGGATGTGGAAAAACTAGAATCATACACTGCTGATGGGAATATAAAACGGTGCAGCCACTTTAGAAGAGTTTGGCAGCTCCTGAAAAAGTTAAACAGAGTTATCATCTGACCAGCAATTCCATATCTAGGCAGAGGTATGGAGAATGTAAACATATGACTACACAAAATCTTGTACAAGGATGTGCACAACAACATTATTTATGATAGCCAAAAGTGGAGATAACTCCAATGGCCAACATTAGATGACTAGATAAAATGTAATACATTCACACAAGAGAATAATTTTCAGCCACGAAAAGAAATAAATTACTGATACCTGTTACATCATGGATGAACTTCGAAAATATCATGCTAAATGAGAAGCCAGTCACAAAAGACCATATACTGTAAGATTTCATTTATAGAAAATGTTCAGAATAGGCAAATTTTTAGAGACAGGAAGTAGTTAACTGTTTGCCCCAGGCTGGGGACTGAATGGCTAGGGTGGGTGATGGGGAGTAGAAGGAATCGGGGGAGGTAAAGAGTGATTGCTAACAGGTATGGGGTTTCTTTTTCAGGAATGAAAATATGCTCACATTGATTGTGATTATGGCTGTACAACTCTTAATAAAAACTATAAAGCTGTCACAAAAAAAGAAAATGAACAAATGAATAAAAAATCCTTAAAAAAGAAATTAAGTTATGCAGCTAATCTGAGATTAGGAAGAGTTCCTGGCCCTGAGGCTGAGGTGGGAGGATTGCTTGAGCCCAGGAACTTGAGACCAGCCTTGGCAACATAGTGAGACTACATCTCTACAAAATAAAAAATTAAAAAAATTTTTTTTAATTAAAAAATATTTGGGCACCTGTAATCCCAGATACTCAGGGAGCTGAGGCAGGAGATTTCGCTTGAACCCAGGAGGCAGAGGTTGCAGTGAGCCGAGCTCCATATATATATATATATATGTATAAAATTAGCTAGGCATGGTGGCACACACCTGTGGTCCCAGCTACTTGGAGACTGAGGCAGGAGAATTGCTTGGGCCCAGGAAGTCAAAGCTGCAGTAAGCTATGATCGCACCACTGCACTCCAGCCTGGGCTACAGAGTGAGGCCATGTCTCAAAAAAAATTAGGAAAAGTACATCTCTCCCATCTCTCCCCATAGAGGGAGGAGGGACAGGAAGATCCAGCAGGATAGAAAAGTATAGAGGAAAAAGGAAGTTCTACCTCCACGATCCTTTAGTACTCTAGCTGTTCTCCCCAGAGAAAGCAACTCTAAGTTTCTTGCAGAAAGGACCTTGATGCACTAGTAGGTATGTGCGTAAAGGGTGACATACTTTGCATTACATAATTATAGTTTTTATTATATTCAATTTTAACAGCAGCATATTATCCTATTCTATAGATGTACCATAATTTATGTAAACAGTCTGCTATTGAAGGACATTGGTTTGTTTCCCACCATCTTCCACTCCAAATCATGCTGCAGTGATTATCCCTGAGTGTATGTCTCTCTGCACACAGGCAAGTATATCAGTAGGACACTTTTCTAGAACTGAAATTGCTGGGTCAAGCCTGCCTTATAGAATATTGTCATTTTACCATCCAAAGAGGCCATTATGTCATTTTAAAGAATTTTCCATTATACCATATGGTTTAAAGAGCAAAATGATATTAATCAACATTCTGATTCATCAATATGAATAGTATTTGTAATATACTGGTGTCTTCTATTCCTTTTGTAATAAAAAAGCTGATATATGTTATACTGATATAATAAAAACAAATTTTAAAACAGGAAAAATTATCTATTACCACTACCGTAATCTAACAACTACTTTCATTTTTCCTGTTATAAAAAAAACTAGTTGTGTAAATAGATGGCTCTGAGGGATGGGCTACTGTGGAGACTTTAGCAGGGCTAAAAAGGCTGAGGCCTCCGAGTGGCTGTGCAATAGCAGTCATTTGGTGGAGACATGAGGCAAATCAGTGATCAGACTTAGAAGTCTGAGAAGGCTTTAATTTTTCATTTTCAAGACCAGTTTATGAAGTGTTAATGCACCAACACCAGAGCAATGACTAACCCAGTACAGGGAGGACATGGCAGGCCTAAGCACCTTCCTCTTTTGATCTGCTAAAGGCCAAGCCAAAGCACAAAAGAAGGCACATTGCAGATATGAGAAAGACACCTGAGGAGGGCCAAAGGACGTGCCCCTGAGTTACTGCACTCAATTAGTAATTCTCAAATGTCTCCGACCCCCTAAGAGAGGCAAAACTGAACAACGAATCCAGAGCCAAGAAGTGGAGAGAAACAGCAATCAGATTGGTAATCTGCAGAGTCAGGAAAGTAGCAGGGAACCATGATGTACTTATAGTAAATGCTTCAGAACTACAGAAAGTGAAAATAAGGACCTAATTCAAGAGACAACACTGTTAGCAGAGGTTTATCTCCCAAAAAGAGGAGCATTTGTCACTTTCTGTGATAGCAAGTAGTTATGAACTGTTTTGCA